AAGCATGAATGGGAATTGGGTTCGTTCAAAGGGGGGGGTCCCTGAAAGGGTTTCTTAGGCCGTTCGGTGGTAGGTACGGGCCCGTAAAGGCTATACGTTATACCCCTAAACCCTGAACCCGAAACCCTAAACCCTAAACCCTAAATCCTAACACCTAACCTTTTATACGTCGGGGACCTCCCTGTATCGGCTGTACGGCGGCCCGGTACAACCGTACGGGTTTTTGGTTATCAGTCGTTATGTGCTGGCCAGGTCAGGTGTTCGATAGAAACAATGTAAAGCATATGGGCAGTTGTCAAAATTAGGGTCCCTTTTGGGGTACCCTATATAATAGGTACCGTATTATAATAAGGACCCAAAAAGGGACCATAATTTTGAGAACCACCCCTTTAGGATTGAGGGTTCTGGTGCTGAATAGAGGCGCTTCATGATAATTAGAATAGGGCTTTGGGGCATGATGTACATAGGGTTGTGTAATCAGGAGCCCTTCGCAATAGTCTCGATACTTAATATTATTCAGCCGCCACAAAAAATGCATAGAGAGTCCAATTTGCTATAGTTCCATTGAGTTCTCACTAGCCAAATAGAACTTTTGGGAACATCCGAAAACTCTTTAAATCTTCTTACAAAAGCCTTTCTGGACTCTGCCTGTGTTAATGAAGAAATTAGTTGTAAGGGATTTACAGGACTTTTTCCAGTTTGTTTCAGGATTTACTTGACTTACAGGGTGTTTACATGATTTTGCAGATTCGCCTCATGACGTTACCTGACAGTTAGAGCCATGTATGAGGCTCATGGTGGTCAGTCCCCGAGCAGTGGGAAACCCAAACCGCATGGCTTTTCGGTCAAGACACGACGGTGGGTTGAGATGGCTAATATAGAAGCCAAAATGATTACAAAAGGGTTCTTTATTATGTTTTTACCGTAAAGGATCCCAAAACCCAATTTTCTGTTCTACGCAGCGGCGGAGACGTCCATTTCGCGGTTGTAAAATTCCAAGCGCAACATTTGGCAGCTTGCATGGTTGCATTATCGCAGACCAGGAGTGCCTAGGGAAAGTGGTGTTTAGGGTTGCGGAGTGTTTGCAAGAACGTTATGGACAGGGGTACTGTTTTGCAAAGCTCAGGTAAAAGTTTGAGGATGTCGGGACAAAGGGTCAGACTTGCGAAACGTTTGGTCCGTGTAGAAGTGCACGGAAGAACGTTCAGGGAAACTGGGCTCGGAAAACAATCTATTGAGGGTTTGGGACTGGCATATGGGTTTAGGCTTGTGCAGTGTAGGGTTTTGGTGTAAGAGGTGCAAAGTCGCGGAATGTGCAACGACTGGTTGGTGTAGGGATAATAAGGCCCACAAAAGTGCAGGTCCTACTTGTGCCAGGTGACAGGGAGGGTGGATCATCTGATAATTTAACAGATTTCCATTTCTTTGCGGATTCCAGCCTTAGAATTAAATTTTGCCGGTTGCGGGGTTTGTGGCGAAGCCCCATACATTGCGACCATTGGCCACAATGTCATTGGCGGTCAGTGAATAATCCATCGAGGTGTAGACGTGAACCCGGCCCGTGCCACCGGTCCCTGTGACCGTACAGCTGCAGCAGTGAAACTCGTATGTCGTGCAAGGATCCACAACGAACATGCCCCGCACGAACCATTGGACATGAGCTATATTGTTTTGCTTTGCACAGGTTCGTGTTGCCTGTGCATGCTTCCGCCACAGCCGGTTTGGACATCCATTGACTGCTTGAAACCGTTTGGGTTCAACACGGCGTGCAGTTGGATCCCACAAGCCTTTCAACACTGATAGTCCGCGTCACATTCCTACACGGAAGGAATGGGCGCTACATCCCTCTGCGGCCTGGTTCCCGCATTCCTGAACCCGGCCGATTGATGTTGAAAGGGTTTAGCTCTGGTCTAGCCGCCCCCAAAAACCCACATCTGGATTACCTTCCGCAAGGGCCTACGGAATCGACTGGGTAGAGTGCCACGCAGCAGGCGATCCCCTTGCACATGGCTCAGACACCGGGGTCTGGTTTGGGGCTTCGGTGCCGAAATCTTATCGCAGAATGGTTGAATTGAAGTGAAAGTCCTACCTTAAGAACCCAAAACCCATTCTTTGTAGGTCCTTATTATAAACCTTAATATGGGATTTATAGGGACCCTACAAAAAAGTAGGTTTTGGGTTCTCAAGGTAAGCCCTAAGCCGTCAGTGTATGCTTCTGGGCCGAGACGTTGGGCGGCTGAGTTACGAGATTACAATTTTTTGGCGTAGTGCTTTTGGCTAGCGTTTAGGGTTTAGGGTAGTCTCCAGCCCCAGTCCTTTTGGGATCTTTTGTGAGCATCGAGACATGGGCTTTTTCTTCATGCAACTATATAGCTTCCCATGCATCTGCGTTTGCGCGGAAGGCAGGCCTTAGCTTCGCAGTAGCATCGCGGCTTCGGCCGTGCACGGTGGAGTGGAGCCCACATCTTAAAGTTGCCACGTAGAGCCGAATAGCTTGGTCCTCTGATCCTTTGTGGTAAACCAAACTCCGAAAACAGTCGAAGCACGCACCGACGCTTTCCTGCTGTAACCGAATGGCAGGACAAAGTGTAATTTATAATCTAGCCTCAACCCCAACCATACTCAGTGGTTTAGGGTTCAGGGCCCAATAGAGTGGGGTTTAGCACCCGAAGTGGGCCACAGAGTTTAGAGGTGTTAAGTCTAAAGTGAAATACCCGAGCTTGCTTACATTATAGTATAGGTATACAGGGCCTGTAAAGGGATGCTTTCGCTAGGTACTCTTGAACTCTACTTGGCCGTAAATCTTAAAGCCTAAGCCTTAGGCGCTGAACCTTCAACCTATCCGTAAACCCTAAACCTTAAACCCTAACTAAACCCTAAACCCTAAACCCTAACTAAACCCTAAACCCTAAACCCCTGAATGAGAGTTTCCTGATTTCAACTACATGCGAAGCCGAGGCCGATGCCTTGGAAGCACGGGCTTGTTGGGTGATCCTCGATGAGGCTGCAGTTTAGGATATTAGGGCTGCAGGTTTACGATTAAGGGTTTTATAAGGTTTCAAGTTTAAGGGTTAAGAGTTTTTAGTGTTTAGGGTAGTTAGTAGAGTGCGAATCCTAGGAGTACATAATCCCAAACAACAGCTTGTAGTGCCACTAGGAAATTGGACAAGTAAGGGCAGCGGAAAAGGATTTTGCGCTACAGGTTTTGGCTTAGGGTTTTCAGGGTCTGGATTCAACCTATTGCTCTAGGTTTTAGATGGGTGAAGACTCCAGTGGCAAAGCAACCCTAAACCCTAAACCGCTTGTCGGCTGCATCTTGAGGGATTGCAGCTCATGGCTTCAGGCTTTGTAGGCCGTAGGAACTTTAGGGCTTAATGTAGGGGCCTTAATAATTATAATAGGGTTTTGGGGGTTCCTGATTATAAATTAGAATTATAGTATAATATATCCCAAACCCTAGTCTAATTATTAAGGCCCCAACATTAGTAGGGGTTACTCGGGTTTCAAGGTCTAGGGTGGGGAGTTTATAGTACTTTTTCAAGGTTCAGGGATGATTGACTTTGTATGTTTCGGTTTGGGGGTTTTAGAAACGTTATAAGCCCTTTCGGGTTTGGGGTTTGGGGTGTGGAGTGATTCGGTCGTCCGCTTCGGTCGACCGCGTCCCTAGCGCAAGACTCCCGAATCGCCCGAATCGACAACTCCGCAGCTGAGAAGCCTCAATCCTTGATACCGATGTCTGAATATGGTTTATTCTCTAAATTAGGATCCCTTTTGGGGTCCCTGTCATAAGAGTGCCGTAGTGTTTGGGGGACGGAAAAGGGGACCCGAATTTCGAGAACTACCCATATGTCGGACCAGCTTGGGGGCTCTATACTAAAACCGGACTAGCACACCTGTGCCTGACCCCGGGTGCCTCACGCCTAAAGCTTCAAGTTCAGGGCTGTTCGGTTTTATGGTTTCGGGTTACGGAAATCCCTCCAACCCAGTCCTGGACAGCAGTTCCCGCACCGCAAACCCCTTGAACCCTTAAGCTCTGAATCCTTAAGGCTTCAATTTTCTATTCCCCGAACCCTAAACAACCCCCAAACCCCAAATCAAAGCCCACTAGAAAACACCATACAGAGCCCTTTTGAAAGACATCAAAACACGACCTCTAAAGATCCCTCTAAAACGAGTCCTAGGAACAGCCTGTACCCTAAACCCTAACCCCAAGTGTCCATGTACCCAAATAGTATATACTTTGGCCTTAAAGTAGTCCCTACATAGGTACTTTGGGGCCAAAGTATATACGATTTGGGTCCATGGACCCTTAGAGTAAACCCTAAACCCTAAACCCATAATCCCTAAACCCTAAACCCTAAACCCTAAACCCCTAAACCCTAAACCCTAAACCGTTCCCCTTTTGGGTCCATGGACTCTTAGGGTAAACCCTAAAGCCAAAGCAAGCATGGTCGCAGGGGCGGGCCAATGCTCCGAGTGTGCCGCTGCACCAAGAACTCTGAAAGTCTGAGAGGGTTTAGGGTTTAGGGTTTAGGGTTTCTTTTTACTTCTTAGGGAACTTCACTTAAGGCACCATAAACAGGAAACCATGTTGTTGATGATATCTATCTATATATTGTATGTATGTCTATACTATATATACATGTATATAAACATCTTTTTCTCTCCCCACATTATGAGTTAAGCTTCTTAGCAAGAACCCAGGAGGGCCTGAGACGGTTGAACGTGAAAGAGCGGAGTCCGAGTTTCGGGGGATTTCGGCTAGAAGTTTTGGTTCGGAGAGATGGACACTCTGGAAGATCAAAAGTCAGATTTCCGTGCTGTTTCTGAGTGTAGAATGCAGCTCGGTTCAAATGGGTACACTCTTGCGCCAGCAGTCTTCGGATGTTCAGGTTGGACTGAGCAAGTTGACTGCAGACTGTACAAACTTATCCTGTTCCCCGAAATTTCAGGGTCCGGTTTAGGGTTTAGGGTTTAGGGTCTGTATTTGGCAGTTCGGCATGCCCCTCCGAACTCAGGCAGTGCATCCTGAGATCTTTCGCAGTTGGGCTCCCGTTGCAGAGAGCAGGCCGGTTGGTGCCACCTTGATGGGAAGAGTGGCCTTACTGGTAGGCATCAATGAATACTCCGACGAAGTCGGGACACTGCAATATGCAGTGTCAGACATGAAAGCATGTCAGAAGGCGCTGACCAACATTGGGTTTTGGTGTATGACATGCGAGAATCAACCTCGCAGCAAATTCCTTGAAACGTTGCAAAACTTCCTTCAACTTGTCTGCGACGATGATGACATCGTCCTTTTCAACTTCAACGGGCATTGCGAGCTTGTGAACGAGGACGGCAAAGACAAACCAGCATTAATTTTCGATGGTCGAGGACTTGATGATTCAGGACAGCAAACAGGCGGGCATGTGATGCTTGAAGAGGTAAGTATGCAACTGATGAAGGCCAAGTGCAGCTACGATGCCGAAATCCTACTCCTGATGAACTGCTGCCGCAACTACAGGAAGCCAGAGACATCTCTGAAAACGCTGAGTGAACGGAGTCAGGTACACGCCATGGGCAAGAACACCCATGGTCGGGGTTTGACAAGTATTTGGGCATGTTCTGTCGGTCACTGGGCTGCGGATACCAGCAGCTTCAGACAAGGATTGTTGAGCTGCATAGGGCAAGAGTGTGACTTGTGGCAGCTGCACAAAAGTATTTCTATCCATGTGCGATCCCACAACATGAACACAGAGGGCACCCGTTTCCCATTGTGGCAGAGGCCGTGCATCAGCGCAAACACCGATTCCGATCGAAACGACTTCTTCCTGCCAGATTGGTCAAGGGCAAGCTTTGGTCAGAAAACGTATCCGGGAGCTCGTCTTAAGCATTATGCAGCCCAAAGCCATCGAGAAACCCAAACAAGCCCACGGATGATTACCCTAGCCACCCCAGCGTCGTCCCCCCCTGCCATCTCGGGTCCTGCCTCTTCCCCCCAGCAAAATCCGGCCCAGAGCCGGGAAACGCAAACGAGCCCGCGCAGGCCAATCCAGCAAGCAACCCAGACATCACCTCAGCACTCGGGCCCCACTCCTCCCACCCCAGTCGGTCGTGGTGATGCAGTCCGGCAGCCAGCCCCAGAGCTTCAAGAGCCAGAAACCGAGCTTGTCCGACACCAGGAGGTTGTCCCAGAGGTGGTGCGACCCGTCGGACCACCATCTCAAACCACCCGGGACCATGTTCAAGCCCCTCTTATGTTCATCTTCTGTGCGAGCTTGCACCTCACCGTTTGGCTTCTCTTTTGGTTCACGCGGTGCATACAGCTGCGATGCACCGGGTGGTCGATTGAGGATCTGGCAAGAACCGGGTGGTCGATGCAGGATCTGGCAAGATGTTGGCTGCGATGCACCGGGTGGTCGATTTTTGATCTGGCAAGATGTTTATACAAAGCTTTTTTTTGTTTGCATGTTTTCCCGATGGCTCACCAGGAGCTCCACCCTAAACCCTAAACGCTAGACCCTACACCCTAAACCCTAGACCCTACACCCTAAACCCTAAACCCTAAACCGTAAGCAGTCAAAAGCTACAAGAAGCCAGGTGGTCGTTTAATTTGATGACGATCTCCATGTTCTGGGCCTCCCTGAGCCTTAGCGGGTTTAGGGTTTAGGGTTTAGGGTTTAGGGTTTAGGGGAGTGAGTACACTTTACACTTTTTAGGATAATATGATCCCTTGTAGAACTGAAAGTGTACAGTTTTTGGGGCTTATGAACTCAGCAACTAAGGAGCTACAGCCAACGAGGACAGCATGCAGACACTCGGATTGGCGCAGTCTTGTCTCGCCATTGGCCAGTCGTCGAGGACTGCGCGGTTGGAGTATGGTTTCCGTGTTTCGTATCACTGGCACAAGGCTATGCAGATCGTGTGGAGCGAGATGGACAACAAAAGGCGGTCTGCTATTCTTTGACGACATTCCTGATGACCTTCATGGCAAAAGATATCGCAAAGGAAATGTTTCGTGAATGGCGTGCTGTAGCCACTCCCGCTGTGCTGGCGCGTGCTTTCATCATGTGGAGGCAAGTCTTTTTGGCAGCATGTCTGCAGGTTTGTTTAGACATTTATGGGTGGTTTGCGGTAAGGTCAAGTGGGGCAGCGACAACTTCCAGCAAGGCACCACGGTTGTGGTTGAGGACACCTGCAGCTGTTGCGGGTGCCACTGCGGACGTTGTCGCGGAAGTCGGCGAGGGCGCCAAGCGGACCGTCCAGGTCGCTGGCACAGCCGTCTGGCGTATAGTGTATGGGCTCAGAGACATTCACTGGTTTATAGTGTGTGGGCTGGTATTGACTTGTGTGCTCGATTTCCGATCCACGAGACGGAGTAAAGCCTTTACCCTTGTTTTGACTGGGTACTCATTCTCGACGATTCTGAAAGTCGCGGCCTTCATGGGCACCCAGTACGCATCCCTTGACGTGTGTATATCATTCTGCTTTGCCATGGCTCTGTGGAGAAAGGTAGCGCAGAATTTCCACCTTCTGCAGCTGCCCATCTGAAGGAAGCTGCATAGACTGCCATCATCATGTCTGATATCTGATTCTTCCCAGAGTTCCCAAGTAGGCTCTAAAAATTCCCTGAAGTGCTTAGTTACGGTTAGTTGCCTCTAAACCCTAAACCCTAAACTGCCCTAAACTTTCAGCCTTAAACCATGTTTGCAATCATGATGGCCTCTTCATCCCTGATCGGAGCATGGGTTCACTGCTCCTTTCATTGCAGCATGATCGTTCGTCGGCTGCATCGGCCCAGCGCAGGCTTTCAGCCCATCCAAGAAGCCCAGTAGCATGGCTATTTCGCATGGGGTTCGTTCTAAAGTAGGCTTCCCTCTCAGGTGCTTTGGCAGAAGTTATCTTTAAGTGCCCCTACTCGGGATCCGACTGTAGGACAAGTCTTTCGAGGACCGCTTACAGGGATCCAGGACAACATTCGTGACCTAGTGTAGTTGAGGTTTCAGTGTTCATGGTTGTGTTGCTTGATTGCATTATCCGAGTGGTTCGAAGGTAGATGAAAAGTAGAGTGATAAGTACGAAGCTAGCTGAAGTCCCATTGCCAACTGCTTATCAAGTTCCTGGTCCTGCAAGTTGTAAGGAGCATTGTGGCTTTCTTATACAACTCCAACAAAAAGGAAGCGTTTTGTCACTCTAAACCCTAAACCCTAAAGCCTTAAACCCCTAAACCCTAAACCCTACTTCGTTGTCGACAGTGCGTCAACTTTGCCGAAACTCAGCCCTAGCTTGGCAGTTGATCCAGCTTGCACCCAGAGCCGGCCGTAACTTTCACGGATGGACTGAGCCTTTCACTACCTTAACCTACCAAAACCGACTTTTTTGTAGGGTCTTATTACGAACTCTAATATGGAATTTTTAGGGACCCTACACAAAAGTAGGTTTTGGTAGGTTGAGGTATGCTGAAGCTTCTTGGGTGGCTTCTGCAACAAAGCCACATACGTATGAGGTCTCAGGGACCGACATTCCAGATGTAAAATGAGCTGCTAAGTACGACCACGTTGCATGGATCATTCCTTGCCGAGTTGATGCTGAAGTGTCGTTGATGTTAGTGCTCTCATCGCCTTTAAGATCAAAAGGATTGAAGAAGGCATGATATAGGGGCCGAAATAATTACCAATACTATTGTGGGGATTCCTTATTATATTTACAGTATAATAGGCCCCAAAACCCTATTCCAGTTATTAAGGCCCCAACAATGCCAGTCGCTGCAGTGCAGCACCTCCCTAAACCCTAAACCCTAAACCCTAAACCCTAAACCCTAAACCCTAAACCCTTACAGCAGGCAAAACGCTGGCGACTATTGGTCCTCAGGGCGTGGTATCAACATCTTCGGGTGTATTATGGGGGGGGGCCTCAATAATTACAAGAGGGTTCAGGATTTCATGTTTTAGGGTTTCTGGTTTAGGGCTTGGGGTCAAAGTTTAGGGTTACGGGTGTAGGGATCTATTCTTATACTCTAGTATTGGTAATGTCTTAGGCCCTAGAAGCCTAAAACCTAAACCCAAACCCTCAACCCTAAACTCCAAAGTCTAACCCTCAACCCTAAACCGTAAAAGCCTAAACCCTCAACCCTACAACCCTAAAGCCCTAAAACCCTAAACCCTCAAACCCGAAAAACTTAAAACCCTAAACCCTAAACCCTCAACCCAAAAACCCTAAACCCTAAACCCTAAAACCCTAAACCCTCGAACCCTAAAAACCTAAAACCCTAAACCCTAGACCCTAAACCCTATTTCCCTAAACCCTAAAACCTTAAATCCTAAAACCCTGCATCCCTAAACTCTAAACCCTCCAGTTAGAAGCCTGAGGGCCTTGGGGCTCAGAGCGTATCGGGCAAATGTAGCACCCTGTCTTCAGGGTTTTAGGGTTTAGGGGGCAGGGTTCAGGGTTTAGGGTTTTGGGAATTACGATTTAGGGTTTAGGGTTTTAGGGTTTGGGGTTTGGGGTTTAGGGTTTTAGGGTTTGGGGTTTAGGGTTTAGGAATTACGATGTAGGGTTTGGGGTTTCAGGGTTTAGGGTTCAGGGTTTTGGGTTTAGGATTTAGGGTGTGGGATTTAAGGTTTAGGGCTCAGGGTTTAGGAACTCTTACGGGAAAGGATTGAAGGAACTACCTGTAAAGGAGGAACGGTGGTTCCATGGATCCCAAGTCGGAAGCCCTCCTTTTTGATACAACTCAGGGACTAGGTGGGAGTTTCCGAAAATAAGGGGTACTTATTTTTGGGTCCTTATAACAAGGATCCTACTGTTTAGGGTACTATATTGGGGTCCCCTATATTCGCAAACAGCCATCCAGATCCGAAGCCCCAAATGTAGACAGACGGTTCGACGTGTCCTGATGCTGTGTTCAGGGTTCCATAACTCGTTTTCTGCCCTGACCCGTGACGGGGATGGGAAAGTTGCAGGTTTTGGGCTCTACGTATGGCTTTGGGGTTTCGAGTTTTGCGAGTTGCGGCGCCTGAACATCACACCCATGAACCCGCATGCCCCAACCAATTGTCTAGGCTGGATCGCTGCGTAGGATACATGATGAGCATAAAGTATGAAGATGAACTAGCAGCTGTCAACCGGTGTGCGACACAGGCCTATCTTCATACGCCCTGAACCCCAAACCGCCAAGCAATCTAAGTAGACGGTGGGAAAACGTCGCCGACACAGTCAGCTCGATTTCTTTGGCGAAGTTGAGTTTCAACCTTCGAGCTCATGTGTATATGATTTTGGGATTGCCGGCTGGAGGGCTTGGGCATTTAAAGAGGGGTTTGGGATGTAGGTGTGTGAACTTTCAACCTTAACCCACCAGAACCGACTTTTTGGTAGGGTCCCTATAAATCCCATATCAGGGTTTATAACAGGAACCTACAAAAAAGTGGGTTCTGGTAGGTTAAGGAAGTTCTCAGACTTCTTGTTTTAACTAAACCCAAACCCTGAACCCTAAGCCCTGAACCCTCAACCTTAAACCCTAAACCCTACGCCCTAAACCTTCAACCCTAAACCCTAAATAACCCTAAACCCTCAACCCTAAACCCACCCTACCAAGTAGCCCGGCCATCCTTCCGACGGTATCTGGCCCAGGCCGATGGCGAGCCGTACGTGGTGGGCAGCTTACATCACAGAGATCCCACGGTTTAGGGTTTAGGGTTAGATCCCAAAACAGTACTTAGAGGATCAGGGGGACTTAGTAAGTAGGGTTATAAGTAAGGTGACTATAGTTATATCTACTTATAAGCTTAATTAAGGTAGATAACCATACTTAATAAGTGCCCCGATCCTTTAAGTAGAAGTCGGAAAGTTGGAACATCATTGTCCAGGGGCCCTTAAGGCCAATTATACAAAACCTAGCACTAATCACCGATGTTCCCACTTTCTGGGCTTCACTGTACCCCTCAATTAAGGATTATACTGGTTTATACCTTAATAAGTTATAGTGAGCTTAATGTTATGATTTCAGGTAGATTCCCTAATTAAGGGGTATTGGCACCCTAAACCCTAAACCCTAAACCCAAAACCGGTATTGGGCACTCTGAACATGGCCTTGCCACAAGCATGTTGGGCCATGTTGGGGCTGGTCTGACTCGTGAACTGTTTCGGACTTTCGCCGTTGCTGATACTATTCCCTAACCCCCCAGGTACCTACTCTATATAGGGTACTAGAGCCCCTAGGGCCCTATATAGCAGGTAACTGGGGGGTTAGGGATTGCTGCTTACTAGGATCATGATCATGAGGTTTCCGACGCAGGTTAAGATTGTCTGTGATCTTTCTTACAGTACGCTCCTGCATACAGACACAAACACAAACACACACACACACACAAAGAGAGAGACACGCAAACGCACACGCACACGCACACGCACACGCACACGCACACGCACACGCACACGCACACGCACACGCACACGCACACGCACACGCACACGTACACGTACACGTACACGTACACGTACACGCACACCCACACACACACACCCCACACACACACACGCACGCGCACGCTGTAACGAAGAACGGAGGATACTAAGCTTCAAAAGCTCGAGCTGCGAAGGTCCGTGACCGACTACAAGGCTGCAGTTCTGAGGGCTGTGCTAAGTTGAGGAATCTTTTGTAAGGCTCTGCAGTACTATAGTAACCCCTAGAAAGTTGGAAACCGGATTAAGGCCAAATATTGCTGGGATTCCCTATGCATTAGTCATTAGTCTTAAAGATGGAGGCTATTGGGTTTCCAACTTCTGGGCTTCTACTGTATACAAGCTGCCCAATCCCGAACAGCGGCGCTCAGGAGTCAGGGTTTGCGGATGCACGAGGCCAGCGCAGCAACCCCAACCTCTAAACCCCTCAAGCCCTAAACCCTAAAAGCCTAAACCCTAAGCCCTAAAACCCTAAACCCAAAACAGAATAAATATGAAAGCCGCAGTAAGCCCCAAAGCATAGATGCAACATTCATGGTGTCGACATCTTCGTGAAGAGAGATCGCAGGGCTGTAGGTGAAGGCTATCCGACTATCCTACTAGAGGGGCCTCGGCCTCAATAAATTACCTATATTATTTTGGGGGGCTCCTTAATATAGTTATAGCAAAATATCATCCAAAACCCTATTCTAGTTATGAAGGCCCCTACATTACTGGCCTACTTACGACCCCGATGGTTCGTGACCTCTCTGGTGGAGCACAAGTGAAAGACTTTGACCTTGCGTGCTTCCCTAAGGCTCTGAGGACTCCTATTCTAAGGCTTTCGGGCCCAAAGACCATACCGTGTAGGGCTTTTGGGCCGCCTTAGGGCTTGTTTCTCTGCGTACCTTCTGTCAGACCAGCATTGGCTCCGCCTATGCAGCGGCTAGGCACTCAGACTCGTCCGGCTCATAGGATCTGTGGTTTAGCGCTTCTACAGGTACTGCAGGGGCCTCAATAATTAAAGTAGGGTTTTGGGGTATAATATACATGACCCTGAACCCTAAACCCTACACCAAATAAAATCATGATAAGGAACCCCCAAATAATTA